AGAGAGAGAGAGAGAGAGAGAGAGAGAGAGAGATCTTCCCTTACCTTCATGTAAATTAATGTCATATTTATTGACCAATTTCTCGGCCACCGGTCCCGGGAAGGCGGCGCCCGAACTCATAATCAACTTAACACTAGACAAGTCATACTTCCGGAAATAGTCTTCCGATACGAGTCGACTGCCCAACAGAGGGCTAATAAACATGGCATTAATGTCGTACTTTTTCACCGAGCTCAATATAGCCTCTTCGGACACACGGCTGTACACCACAAAAGTTGCGCCAATCAGTAGATAACTGTACAAAAACATCTGGCCTGAAATGGACCCGTACGGAGTGATCTCGCTAAAAATCAGTGGATTCAAGTGCTGTGTCCTGTCGTATATATTACAGTATATGTTGGCCACGAATGCCCGGTGCGATAGCCGTACCGATTTGGGCACTCCTGATGTGCCCGAGCTCTGCAGCATTATGTATATATCAGTCTCGGGATCGACCGGGAAATGCGGGACTCGGGTCAACACACGGCCACTACATTCGGCCAACAGCTTACTAAATGGTACGTACGTGTCCTCCCGGCCCTCCCCGTCCAACATAACGGTTAGTTTGCGCTGAATTTTGACAGTTGTGTCGGCGAGTACTTTGTCTACGATGGCTGACTTGTCCCGGTCTGTGAACAGGGCTATTGAGCCCAGAGTGGGCAATAGGGTCCGCAACTCGTGAACATTAGCCACGGGTCCGATCGGGTATAAAGTGATTCCCAGGAAAATGGCGGCGAATACCAGCACTGAGTGCTCCACAGAGTTGTTGGCAAACGTGACAATCAGGTCCTGTTTGGTGAGCCCTCTGTCCAGTAGAGCTGTGGCCACGGCTTGGGCTGAGGCTATCAGTTCACCGACGGTCAGCCATTTGGTTTCCAGACAGGCGTCGATCTATTGGTCAACGATATGTAAAATATATAGTGATTAACATTTTCATAAATGTAAGTTTAATGTCGGTATGTTGTGGGCACCTGTGGTGGTGGACACCTGGATCTATTTGTTTTGACAATTTACATATTATAATAATTAAGTAATTTTAATCAGTACTTACAATACACCTGTGGTTTGGGTCCAACTTTTTCAAGTAATTTAAGGCAAACTCTCCGACAGACAGCACCGGTATGTCGACCGACGGTAGCGGCGATTTGATCACATATTTGTCGCTCATTTTTATGTTAATTATTATTACTTTTAATTATTTTATTATAAAATAAATAATTTTTATCAAGAGTGTAGCACTCGTTATAATTCATTAATTGACTGCACAGTATATGAGACAGTGGAAACTTTTGATACAGTTTTATATACAGTTTGATAAAATATAAACATGATAAAAAAGTGAACTCAAAAACGACAATTGCCAATTATCTTATAATTATTACATCATGTACTGTATTATAATACAGTGGTAATGTTGTTACTCATTTAGTTACTATGATGAAATTAATTAATTTAATTATGAGGCTATTAGTCGGCATTTTTTCTGGTGAAAAACCATTGAAAAAGTGTGTAATTGTCGTAAATTACATCTACTCTTCACTTAAAGTAATAGATATCTGGCTTAAGACATGTGCTATGAAGTATAGTAGACATTAATTAATGTTAAAATATACAGCGATTAATTACATTACATGTATATCTAATTAAAACATAAACATTTAGATATTAAACACTTTGATAACTGTTACCGACAATCGGTGAGGGCGATTGATTAGCAAGAACGTTCATTTAAACCTAAATGTACATGATTAGAATTGTAAATTGGTGCTATATTTAAATATTGCTGCAATACATTATTTATCATGAACATATGCTTTTAATACCTGTATTACCTAAATAATGAGTTGCTAAGATAATTGTATGTTGATAATTTATAGCTGTTTTATTGAAATATTTTAAGTTAATTTAGTTTTATTTAATTATTAATGTTGTAAGTTAAAATGTATTCTTAATAAAGATACACAAACTATGTACAATATTTTTATTTAAATATTAACAGTTATTTTTAATTAATCAAACAATTAAGATTTTATTATGTGACATTTTAATTTTGGTAAACATGATCAATTTAGAAATTAATAAATATTTTTGAATTACAATTAGATTTTAAAAAATGATATATACAGTGAAGATTTATAAATCATATTATATAATAATATTATATCATATTATATATTATATAATAAATAATAGATGTTATAATTTAAATTTAAGGTTATTATATCAATGAATTTTTATGTGTGTAATGAGATTACCCTTTAAGGAAAAACTTTTATTACAATCCTTGAAATTACAAACAAATGGCTTTTCTCCTGAATGTTTTCGCTTGTGTTTAATTAGATCTGACTTCTGTCCAAAATTTTTGCCACAATTTTCTTCATTACATTTGAATTTTCTTTCATTCAAATGAACACAACTTTTGTGTCGAAATAAAAGTGATTTTGTTGTAAAACTTTTGTGGCATTCATTGAAATCACAAATAAATCTCACATTTAAATGAATAGCATTTTTGTGTCGACGGAGATCACTAGTACTTCTATAACTTTTATTACAATTATTAAAATCACATTTTAATAGATTTATATTCAAATGCAACTTTTGATGTTGGTTAACATGCGATAAATATGATGTTTTATATCGACAGTTAGGCCAACAACAGTAAAATATTTTTGGATCAGTTAAATGGACAGTACTTTTGTGTTTAATTAAAGTTGTTTTATTTTTATAAATCTTATGGCAATTTTCGAAATCACAGAAATATCTTTTATTCAAATGAACAATATTTTTGTGATTAATTAACTGTGATTTTTGTTTATAAAATTGATTACAATTATTAAAATTACATTTAAATTGTTTTATTTCTGAATGAATTAATTCATGTTGTTTTAAATAAGTGTTATTTTTTGCTTTGAATTCACAATTAAGATAATTACATTGAAAATAATCATCAGATTTAGTAATGATATGACAATTGTTTAGCATTTTATCACTGATTTTACATGAATTGCAATCAATTGTTTGATTGATTGAAAAATAATCATTATTTTCGCATTCAATCGCTTCACACNAATTATCTTAATTGTGAATTCAAAGCACTATTATTTGTATTCAAAATACACTGAATTTTGTTGATTATTTCACACAAACTCTTCATTGCATTGAATTTACTCTTCATTTCAATCAACGAAATACTCATTAATTTTGAACACATTTTAAATTAATATATTAGCTTAATATTAATTTGTAAAATTTTGATCACAACTTTTTAAATATTGCTAAACATATTATTAGCTTAACTTTAACTTTTGAAATGAAACAAAATGCAAATCCATTTCATTTCAAACTCCGTTTCTATGGGTTGAATACTTAAATTTTATTACTTATAAATTGCTGTAAAAACACATCTGTTTTTCTAACCCTTTGAACCAAACATTTTATTATTATTTTTCCACATAACTTAATGTTTAAGACGTATTGCTATTACTATAAGTCTAGTAAGTGTTTATATTTCACTTTTTCTATGGCTTAAACTTTAAGTTTGATATTTGATATTTATTTTCAATTTCAATGAATAGCACTAAAAAATAGCACCAAAAAACACCCAAAAAAATTATTTTATCACAAAAGTTGTGTTCATTTGAATGAAAGGAAATTCAAATATAATGAAGAAAATGTTGGTAGAAAATTTAATAAAAAGTGTAATCAAATATCAGATACAGTACTTGTATAAAACTATCCGAGTTTTTGGCCAATTATTTATTAACGCATGATATTTATTAAACATTAAAAAATATCTGATCGTAAAAGTGATTGCAAACACGATTTCAAACAAATAAATAAAATTAAAAATGTTTGACAAAACTTTTGTTTCAGTGCAACCACTCGTTGGCCACCAATTATTTGAAGTATTTTGTGTCCACTTTCGCGATGAGAGTCCTCGGGATGTGAGCGATGGACATGATATGTGCACAATATGGTAGAAATAAGCAAAACTACACTTTATTTGTTCAAAAATAAGGTCGTTAAAAACTATCTAATAAAATTTTGCTAAGCGTTCAAATCTGCTTTAATAAAAGCGGTCATGCTGCTTTTGTGAGCCCAGGGAGATGTTAGTGGCGCATCCATAAGTCCGGGGTATGTTCTGCCAGATTCATCGATTTTGATTTGGATTTATACATGAGTTGTGCAAAATAATATATGTCTGATTATGATAAATATTCATATAAAATAACCATATGTATAAAATATATAATATATTTGTTGTTATTAATTTCTCCGATTACTTACATTATTAATCATGGTGATTAATTGTCCGCAAGTGCAGTGCAATGTTCGCTTTAAAGCAATTTAAATTAAATATTTTCTAACAAATATCTGCTTACCCTCATATGTGAATACAATTGCAAAGACACCATTAGATTAGATTATTTCATATAATTAGTCAATTTATTTGTCATACATAATTAATAAATTTATTGAACTTGTTTTAAATACAGAATTGAATTTAAATTACAAATATAATTTTTTATTATCCCGATGTTTGAGGTTTAGTCGCTTAATAAGGCACATCAGATCTGTGCCACGGATGTTCATTGGGATCCGGTACTGAAATTTTGAATTATATTGTTGTAGAATTACCATAATATTATAAAAATTAAGTAATTTTATAATAAATTTATGATTTTTCATATGAATCGGAAAAATGTTTTTTAATTGTAACCGATTTTTACTCAACACTGCTTTCATTGCAATCATAAGACACAGATCGGCATTGACCACATGTGGAGGAGCAGGTGGTGGTGCGACCACCCATTGCGGCCCAACCACCACCTCATCATCCATTACAACCCCATCCGCTCTTCACATACATAATCAGCTCATATAATGGACACACAATTCATTTGAAAATCAGTCAAATACTCACAATATTGTGGCGTATTATGTATGAGACCATTGGACAGCATAACAGCACCGGAATCGGCAAACACTTCGGTTGCTGTCGCCGTTCCGGATACCATCCCACGCCGGCGCGACCAACGGCGTGGGTCGTAGTCGTAACCTTTCAGTTCGTTCACCACATCCTCACCGTTCAAATCGACACCCAGTATAGCGACTGAAGCGTCGGCCCGAACGCCGGCCATCGCTCCCGGTTTGGTCGCACGGATGCCGGCGCTCACTCTGACGGGCGTCCGAACCAATGCCACAGCAATGTTGAGAGCGTCGGCCACTACTTCCTGGTTGTCGGGTCGCACGTAATGACACAGGACTCTCGCCGACTGCGCCATTTGACCGACAGTCGCGATACTGAACTCATAGCCGTCCATAATATTGGTGTGAATGTCCAAACTCTTTGCCCACAATATGTCTCCTCTTCCCATCACTTCGCATACCAATCGTCTGATAGGTTCGGTCGCAGTCACTATGAATTTCACGTCCTGTCCGACAGTGATGTCGGTTGTGTCCGCGCGGGTCACTTGCATATAGTGTCCGGACGGGGAGTCAGCCTTCGCGACAGTGTCCGTGAGGTAAATGTGTCCCATATATTCTGCCTTAAATTTCAATAGGACTCCAACCTTAGGCACAAATAAATCAACTTTAATGAGTCCATTGATTGGCGTCAACAGCAATGGACTGTCTGCCCATTCCTTCTCATCCCATGAATAGCCGTAGTTAACTGTCAGTTGCGGTCCGTAATCGGCCACAGGTTTGCCGTCTTGTGTGACCACTTTGAAGAGAGCCGTGTATTTCAGCCCCGGTTTGTATGTCTCCGACATCTTTATCAACTCTACCTTCAAATCCCTTTCGTATACATTTATTACATTGGATGTGTTGTGCAGTTTTCCCGTCAATCTGTCCCTCACTTTTGCGGTAAATTTAATATCAATACCTGTCTGGTAGTAGAGTCGATGTGGGTCAATCTCCACTTGCAACTCATCCACCAAATGGACGGGTATTGTAGCAGTTCCGTCGATCGTGGTTATTACACGGTATTTAGCTAGCATTACAAGCATAAAATAAAACCATAATGCATTAATAAATTAAATTATATATACAAATGTACACTAAATGATTAATAAATAACATATACCCCTATTGTAACGATTACTGGCATCAAGAGTGAGGTAACCCTTAACAGGCCTGCCATTGGTATCAAACGCTTTAACAGTTGCGACCACTTGTGACCGATTAATGGACGCATACGTTGGCAATGCTAACTCCACGTCAAATGTGGGCAACTCGTGGGCGACAGTGAATGTCTTCGTTGTGTTGCGTCCCAACGCCGCGGCAACGATAGTCCAGTTGCCAAACACCGGCTGACCCGACAGTTGCAGCTCTTCAGCGATGACACCGTTTCTCGCATACAGTTTTGTCCATTCAATGACACGTTTTCCGCTACCGTCCTATCAATTCATATCGTTATTAAATTAAAGTCATTTTCAAACTCAAAATTACAAATACCTTAATCTGGATATCAATCGGGATATTATTTTTGGAGCTCAGCGATGGGGTGACCACAACTACTCTCAACTGTACTTTCTCTCTGGGTTTGTAAATAGCTTTGTCTGTCTTAATAAATACCGACACACTTTTAGACTCATAGTTAAGCGTCACTTCATTTATAAAGCCTTCAGATATTGTCTCGTTTGTTGGTATGGTTGGCATATTGTGTCCACGTTTTACTTTCATTTCGGTGATTGTGGTAAAGTAAGCGCCCTTTCCCTTCACCTGCAACCTATGGGTCGGGCCTTTCCACGAGTTGTTACCTTCGGGCCAATTGCTGATCGCTAGGGTTAGCACTTTGGACTCATCCCTATTGAATACAACGGCACCTGTGCTCACACTGTGTGCCTCACCGATAACAGTGGCCTCCACTTCGATGGGCGCCGGGATGTCATATAACGAGACATAGATGTGGTAATCGGCGTTTGGCCGCAACGTCTTCGGGGCCACCACTGTATACACGGGTTTAGCGCCATTCGCTCTTATATTGAATGATAATTTATTTTAAGTTTCAAAAATTAATTAAATATTTAATTAATAAATATAAATACAAACACATGTGTTGTTGAGATGATTGCCAATAATGTCAGCCATTGAATAGATAATTGAAAGTAACTTTTCATTGCATTAAAACCTAGATTTTGATTACAGAATAGTATTTCAAATCAATTCTTGTATAGAAAGTACTTTAATATAAAACTGATAAACAAAATGTTATATTATTTTAAATAATAAAATTATTTTTAATTTGAAATAATTATTCAAACAAGAAATTTTAAAACATAAATCACTGCATATTTGTTCACAAGAATAATATATGACTGAATTCACTGAAATATGAACTCAAATAAACAGATGTTTTATTTAATTAATTCAAAATCAATGAAAGTTTTATAATATGCGAAATCTTGTTTTTAAATAATTATTTAAAAATAAAAACAAATTTATTATTTAAAAAGATAGGTTTTGTTTCTCGCAAATCAGTGAACGTATTTTCTATACAAGAATTGATTTGAAATATTATTTTGTATCCAAAATATGGGTTTTAATGCAATTAAAAATTACTCTCAATTATCCATTCAATGGCTGACATTATTGGCAATCATCTCAACAACACATGTGTTTGTATTCATATTTATTAATCAAATATAAAGTTTTATTTATTAATCAAATTTAATACTAAAAATAAATTATTATTGACTATAAGAGCAAATGGCGGTAAACCCATGTATACAGTGGTGGCCCCGAAGACGTTGCGGCCAAACGCCGATTACCACATCAGTGTCTCGTTATATGACATCCCGGCGCCCATCAAAGTGATGGCAATGGTTGTCTGTCCGACAAACAAAGTGCAAGGTTTTAATGCAATGAAAAATTACTTTCAATTATCCATTCAATGGCTGACATTACTGGCAATCATCTCAACAACACATGGGTTTGTATTCATATTTATTAATTAAATATTTAATTAATTTTTAAAACTTAAAATAAATTATCATTGAATATAAGAGCAAATGGCGGTAAACCCGTGTATACAGTGGTGGCCCCGAAGACGTTGCGGCCAAACGCCGATTACCACATC